GAAACGAGCAGCAGTCCAAGGGGAGCTCCAAGGCAATGTTTATTTCCTCAGTTATTAACTTTATACCCTTACTTTTCCTTCTCCCACTGGCCGCCCAATTTCAGTGATTTATTAATAGCAGTAACTGTTTCTGCGGGGCGTCTCAGCACAGCTGCAGCTTGGCGCCATCAGCGTTTTTGTGCTTTGGGCAGAGCCAAGGTCGAGATAAGCTGTCTTGGAGGTATGTGGGATTCCTGAGAACATTCCTCCTTGGCCTTCAAGGCTGGAGCTTTCTCAGGGCTAGAGTTTTCCTACAGCTGTAGGTCATGCAGTATCATGCACTCATGTAATCCCACATACTTTTGGGGGCCAGATACAGTACAATGGGTAAGGCAATTGCCTTGCCAATGGCCAACAAACACAACAAGTTCAAGCCCTGGCATCCCAACTGGCCCCCTGAACACCACCGGAAGTGATCCCTGAGCAGAGCCAGAAGTAACTGCTGAACATCGCCTGGTATGAAATACCCCTCCCTCCCCCCAAAAAGATAGCCATTTTCATACTATAGATAATAAAATGGAGACTTAGACCTTAATGGCATCACGTTCTTTGAAGATTACTTACGCGGCTTGGCCATTTCTCCAAATTTAGAGTGTCAGAGAACAGCCCTAGGTCATAACTGAAAGAAGATGCAAAGCAAAATCTGTCTATTCCAAACCTCTGCAACTGATTTCCATAATACACTGCTAATTTTTTTTTGTTTTTTGCTTTTTGGATAGCACAGCAGTAGGGCATTTGCCTAGCGTGCAGCCAGCCCGGCCGAGCCGGGTTTGATTCCTCCACCCCTCTCGGAGAGCCCGGCAAGCTACGAGAGTATCTCGCCCACACGGCAAAGCCTGGCAAGCTCCCCGTGATGTATTTGATATGCCAAACACAGTAACAACAAGTCCAAAATGGAGACGTTACTGGGCCCGCTCGAGCAAACTGATGAACAACGGGAGGACAGGACAGTGGACCGTGTGCTTTTTGGGTCACACCCGGAGATGCACAGGGATTACTCCTGGCTTATGCACTCAGGAATTACTCCTGGCAGTGCTCAGGGGACCATATGGGATACTGGGAATCGAACTCGTGTCTGCCGTGTGCAAGGCAAACGCCCTACCCACTGTGCTGTTGCTCCAGCTCCTACATTGTTACTTTTTATTTTTCAAAAATATTTATGTCAAGAGACATACAGGGGTGAGGCATGTGGTGGATCCTGGTTAAGTACCCAGAACCACACGATGCCCGAGCACAGGACCAGGTGTAACCCAACTTTTCTCTACTGACAAAATAGTAACTGCTCTCCTGACTCATTTTTCTTCTACAAGAGAAGAGTCATTATCTTAAAACTTTTTCAAAGACAACTTCAATGATCACCATTTTACTTCCACTGATTTCTTCTTGGCCTGTGATGATCTCTCTGATACTCCCTTGTAAGTAGATAGAAGATGCTCCCAGGTATTCTTTCTATAGATTTCCTCGTCTATCTCCATTTCCATCCACAAAATAATATAATGCCCTGAAATCCTATTTATTAACCTAGAACTCAAAGGTTACCAAAAACTTTACAACTGCTAAACTCAAAACCATTTCTCAGCTATTTTCTGTAAGTAGTCAACAACAGTAACTAGTCAGTGGCAGTTAAGTAGTACTGACAACCCCTACTACGTATCTTTAACTCACCTAAAAAGATTTCTGTTCTAGAAACGAAATGCCCTGCCACAGAGGCGGGGTGGGGGCGGGGGGAAGACTACTGGGATCATTGGGGGTGGAGAATGGGCACTGGTGGAGGGATGGGTACATGATCATTGTATAACTGAAACCCAAGCACGAAAGTTTGTAAGTCTACAACTGTATCTCATAGTGTTTCACTAAAAAAAAAAAAAAAAAATTCTGCTCTACTACTGCCTGGGCTGGAGCGATAGCACAGCGGTAGGGCGTTCGCCTTACAAGCGGCCAAGATGGGCGACCCGAGTTCGATTCCTCCGCCCCTCTCGGAGAGCCCGGCAAGCTACCGAGAGTATTCGATATGCCAGACACAGTAACAACAAAGTCTCCAACGGAGACGTTACTGGGCCCGCTCGAGCAAATCGACGATCAACGGGAGGGCCTTTACCTTTACCTTACTGCTATGCCTGAGGTATAATTTTTTGGCCGCAATGACTCTATTATAACTTTCCTACTACTGATAAAATATTCAATATGTCCTCCAAGTCTCATTCTCTATGTCTTTACATATACTTTCCTCAAATCCTCATTAATTTTGCTTTTTGGTCATACCTGGTAGTACTCAGGGGCCCATGTACTGCCAAGGGTCAAACCTGAGGCTTCCACATGCAAGGGATGGGATTCAGCCCTTTGAGCTATCTTCCTCTTCCTCCTCTTCTTCCTCTTTTCAAGTTCTTACTACTCTGAAAACTTCATTATCATGACAACTTTCAGTTCTGATGTTTCTTAAGTTCCCAGTGCTACTGAAGTAGTAAATTCATTCACTACCTCTCCAATATGCCAAATTTCCTGGCTTTAGAAATTTTAAACACTCCTTTCTCTTACGATTTGCAGTATCTATTAACTTTCTAGCCAGTCTTAACTCTGGACCATTCTCCAAAGATCATGTCAAATTAGTTTTTTGGGGGAGGCCCTAGTGGTATTCAAGGCTTACTCCTGGTTTTGGGCTCAGGGAACCATTAGGATGTCAGGGATGGAACCCCCGGACAGCCATGTGCAAGGCAAATATCTTACCCGCTGTACTATTTTTCCAGCCCCAAGTTAGGTTTTTTGTTAAAATATTTATTCATGATCACAGTCTGAATGGCTCATGGAGCTGGATGTAGTGCATACTAAGCATATGGGAGGCCTGAGTTTGACTCCGGTGTCATCATGCTTGGTATCCATCCCCAAAACACTTTCAGCTCCTAGTACATAATGACTGATGCTATACTTTTGTATTGCAATACAGGGCTCGCACAGAGAAAAGTGAACTAATTCTCAATGTTTTTCTTTCAATAACACAGTAAATTTTGAGGCCAGGGATGCGGCTCAGTAGTATGTATATATGTATGCCTTATGTATGCCTTATGTATATATGTATGCCTTATGTACCTTTACCTTATGTATGCATGAGGTCCTGGGTTCCAATCCTAACACCACTACACCTTTGTTACCCCCCAAATCAGTAATAATTTTCAAGTAGGTGGGGGTGGGGAAACCTCTCAAGTGGTACTCGGGCCGGGAGGTCCAGGGTTCCACTGGTGATGTGTGTGTTCAAGTTTTTGGGCCACACCCCGTAATACTCAGGGGTTACTCTTGGCTCTATGCTCAGGGATTAACTCTTGGTGGGCTTGGGGGACCATATGGGGTGCTAGGTATCGAATCCAGATTGGGTACATGCAATGCAAACACGCTAACACTTTACCATTTGGGGTTGGAGCGACAGTACAGCGGGCAGGGCGTTTGCCTTGCATGCGGCTGACCTGGGTTCGATCCCTGGCATCCCATATGGTCTCCCGTGCACCGCAAGGAGTAATTCCTGAGTGCAGAGCCAGGAGCAACCCCTGAGCACCGCCGGGTGTGATCCCAAAAGCAAAAAAATAAAAAGTAAACACTGTACAATTTGCTTCATGTGGTCACACTATGTGGCTAAACAGAACTATCAGCTGTAGTATCCCAGCACCCAAAACCACCAGTTGTGACACTCACAGTAGTGGAGGACAGATGCTGGGGAGAAAAGAACCTGAAATCTATCCTTTCAAGGCAATCACAGTAAAGCGAAGATGACAGCTAAGTGATGAGATAAAATTTCACTAAGAGACAGAGAACCACAGAAATCCAGGAATTAGTTGTTTTTTTAGTTTTGTTTTGTTTTTGGGTCACACCCAGCGATGCACAGGGGTTACTCCTGGCTCTGCACTCAGGAGACGATATGGGATGCTGGGAATTGAACCCAGGTCGGCAAACGCCCTACCTGCTGTGCTATCTCTTCAGCCCCAGTAATTAGTTGTTTTAGGCCACACCTAGCAAATGCTTTAGGGTTTATAACATGGGTCCTGGTAATGCTCAGCTCCTGTATGCAAAGCATGTGCTCTAGTCCTCTGAGCCATCTCCCAGCCCCTCAATGAACTAGATCTTTAAAAGTATATGAAGGATGACATGAACTTGATGGATGAGGCAATAAAATGGAGTCAGGCTCTTAAAAAACAAAAAAACCACACATGCTCAGTAGTTTGGGTGATCAGATTGACAAACTAAGACCCACTGGGTCGGAGATAGTACAGTGGGTAGGGCGCTTGCCTTGTACGTGACCAACTGGGATCCCCGGCATTCCATATGGTCCCCTGAGCACTGCCAGGAGTAAGCCCTGACCAATGCTAGATGTGGCCCTGGAATAAAAACAAACCCACAAAATATCAAAATAAGGATCCACAGGCCAAATCTGGCCTGATGTCTGTCTCTTTGTATACAGTCTGTGAGCTAATAATGTTTTTTTGAGTCACACCCAATGGTGCTCAGAGTTTACTCCTGGCTCTGAGCTCAAGGGACCAGATGGGGTGCTAGTGATCAAGTGCGTGTTGGCTTCATGCAAGGCAAATACCCGACTGACTGTACTATCGCTCCAGCCCGTTTTGTATTTTCACAGATTGATCTAAGAAAGAAAAGAAGCAGAGCAGTCATGCATGTCTGAGCCCGAGATATGCTATTCACTTCAGTCTCTTCCTCAAGGTCATGCTGGGCACCCGGCCAGCCACTTATGACTATCCAAGACATGCGACCATATTTTGTTTATAGTTACAATCTTGCTTATGCAACTGCCAATTTTGGTTCTATTTTTGTACATAAAACATGCCTTACATCCAGTGGTGTGGGTTGTACGATACGGCCAGCTGCCACAAACATGTAAGAATCATCCTCGATGAGTCCTCTGGGTCAGTGCTTTAATATGTGTAAACCTCCAAGACTTTCGTACAGATTCCGAATCATACCTTAGAAGGGGGTGGTGCAGGCTTAGGAACCAGGTTCTTATACACACTTGGAACCATAGTTGATGACTTGTTTCCATTTGCATGGTGAGATCCTGGTGAGGTGAATGCAGCAGAGAAGGCAGCAGTAGGATCTTCTTTGGAAACTTTTTTGATGACTAGCATCTTGGAGGATTGCTTGGCACAAGGTGGGTTTTCTGTGAAATGCAACAGTGGACAGACAAAAGTGTCAAATCTTTAGCTTAACAGGGAGCATGGTTTATATTAAGGACTCAATTTCAATAAAGAGCTGATAGTTGAGACTAAGGAACAAATATTTTCTGGTGTATACTTTACAGAGAGCTCTAAATTTGAGACTGCTCAGGGATCTGAAGGGGGGAAAGACAGCACATGATGCTCCTGATTTAAAATTAAGAAACAAACCAGAAAACCAAACATGCAAGTAGTCCTTCAGGAGCATAACAAATCAGTGTATTACATAATCATTCAGACACAGGCCAAACAAGAATAAATTCAAGGATGGCAGCTCCTGTTAGTCATGGAAATGGAGAAATGAGGAAACAGGGAAAGGAATCTCCCCTGGGAACTTCCAGCAAGGAAAACTAGAGCAAAGTTATGTATCATTCAAGGGAAAATGATAATCAACCTTAGTCCCATACCTCAAATTCAAAACCAATTATTAGATACGTTAAACTCTTCCCAACAGGATGCCTAGGCTATAAATACTTCTGATGTATTGAATGGAGTTCAATTTAGAAATAACAACGATTTTGGTGCGCATATGCTGCCTGAGCCCATGTGCTGCTTGTGCCCACGTGGTGAAGCACATGTGGTGCCCAAGTACATGTGTTGCCTGCACCTTCCCTCTTGAGATGTGTATTTTCGTGCTTTCATGTCTAATGCGAGGATGTGTGTTAGGGGCTCTCCCTCTGCCCTTGGAGGAGCCTGTGTTCTCTCTTGAGTACGTTACTTTCACTCTCTCTCCCTCCATACCTTAAAAATCCTCCAAATAAAATCTATTAAAAAAAAAAAAATAACAAAGATTTCAATGCCAGAGATCATGTTCTGTCATGATCATGATCTGTCAATATTTTATAAGGTACTTATTCCCAACATACACAATTAATATTTATGTGTTCCCCTTATTCTATGCAGCAAGCATCATTTATAACTGTATAACAAAAACAACAATTAGGATCCGGTTCTAAAAGGATGGTCTGACGGATGCACTATTATGAAGCTTTCAAAGGATACTTTAGGCAAATTATTTATAGTTACGTAAAAGAAAGTTCAGAACAAACTATTCATAAACCAAATATTTAAGAGACAACAACACACGAAATTTCACTTAAGTGACATAAAATAAATTAGCAATGTTAAATTACTTATTATACGTTTATATTATTCTCCCTTGTTTAAAGTATGCTTCCAAATCTAGGGCTCTATACCGCTTGACTGTCTACATACTGACTTCACTAATATGTTTAGTGATATTTTTGGCATCACAGTAAACATAATAGATGTTAGTAACCATGTAAAAATGGATGAGAAGAGAAACAAGAGATAAGGACACAAACAAAAAAGATAGAGAATTTTTGCTCCTCTCCCTTCTAAGAAAATTTTTAAGTTTTGCCTTCAAAGCGGCAAAAACCACCTACCCCACACTCCAGAAGGGGTCCCAATAGGTCTGCATGGCTGATTCTGTTTGCCAGCTTCTGGATTCAAAGAAGGCTAGGAAAAAAGGGATATTAATGGTTGATACAGAAGGCTAATCATTTTGGCACTTTTTACAAAGTAGCCACCACCCATGAAACCTATAATTATATATCAGAAGCACTTATTTAACACTATTTCCAATTAAGAAACAGAAGATATTAAAATGCAAAATCTACAGGGTTTCTAATAATCTTAAGGTTCTCTTGGGTTTCATTTCCAATATAAGAGGATTAATCTTTCTTTAAATGGACTGCAGGCTAAGTTCTCATCTTCATACATGGATGCCAAATGATGGGGCATGGGAAACTAAAGGAACAAGAATATACATTATTCTCAGATTTAAGGAGGAATCATCAGTGCAGTATTCAAAACACTTCTAAGACTGATTTAGGGCAAAGGCAGACCATGTGCCAGATACAGTTAGAAACACAAATACAAGTAAGACAAACGGAGCCTTTGTTCCCATAAGTATCATAGTCTCACTATAAAAAATAAACTTGCAGATAAGGAAGTACAATCAAAGGTTAACAGGAGCTATGACAAAAAATTCCCACTAGGAATGAAGGAATGAAGATAAGTATTATGAGAAAAAAGTTTCATTAGAGCTGATGACTAAAGAGAGTCTTTTAAGACAATTCCTGAGGGGGGAATATGAGTGAAAAGACCGAATGCTCAATAAATAGCAAGTCACAAAAGTAGGGAAAAGAATATTCAGACGTCTGCAAATAGCTCAACAGGATTAGTACTATGGAAGGTCACAGTTATCTGTCAAAGTAGGCAAGAGTCAAATTGTATTTTTTTTTTTAGAATAACTGAATTTTAGTCTCTATATATGGGAACCCATCTTTTGTGCAGTTAACACGATTATTAGTTTACAACAGTCTGGTAGAAGTTTCATGTATAAGCATCAGTTAAGAGTATATATACTACATGAAAGCTTGTGACTGTATCACAGTAATTCGATTAAAAAAATTCAAAAAAAGAGTATATATACTAGAATAATTATTCCATAGTCTAGGAGAGGAAGGAAGAATAAAGGAATAGAAAAAGGCAATGAGCTGTTAGGAACAACAGAATGGACCCAGTAAATATGTAAGATGTAACGCATGAGGATGAACAACAGTAGAGTCCAAACTCAGACTTTACACTCTGCTAACAATGCAGGAAAAGAGTTTCTTAGAATAAAACTGTCAGTGGAACATTATACACTGAAGATGCCCAGAGTCTACTAGAACGTGTGAACGAAGTCTTCAAGGCTTGGGCTACACATGCGATGTATTTCACCTTGTTAAAGGAGAACCACTAGCATTAGACACGCTATATACTTAATTACCAAATCATAATACAAATAGGCAAATGATGACAGAACACTAAGGGCAGAAAAATACTCTTACACACAACACTAAAAACAGAAGCCATGCTGCTTTTCTTCTAGCATTGTTCTTTTGTCCTCATTCACCTTCTACACAACAATCAAAATGCTCCCTCTATTTATGTGTTATCTCCATCTCCCCCTGAATTTTGAAAAAAGGAAACATGGGTCTAGAGAGAGAGTTCAAGAGTTGAGGTGTCTGCTTTTAATACTCACCAACCCTGGTTCAAATCCCTGGAATCACATATGATTCATCAAGCACCATTCTTTTTTTTTTTTGCTTGGTGGGTCACACTTGAGGTTACTCCTGGCTCTGAACTCAGGAATCACTCCTCGCAGTGCTCAGAGGACCATATGGGATGCTGGTGACCAAACCCAGATTGCCGCGTGCAAGGGAAATGCCCTACCCACTGTGCTATCGCTCCAGCCCCACCAGTGATCATTCTTTTTTTTTTTCTTTTTGGGCCACACCCGGCAAAGCACAGAGGTTACTCCTGGCTCTGCACTCAGGAATTACTCCTGGCAGTGCTCAGGGGACCACATGGGATGCTGGGACTTGAACCCAGGTCGGCCGTGTGCAAGGCAAACACCCTACCCACTGAGCTATTGCTCCAGTCCCACCAGTGATCATTCTTGACCACAGAGATAGAAATAGTCTCTGAGCAAAGAAGGGTGTGCCCCAAAACCAAAAAAAAAAAAAAAAAGGAGAAAAATGTAAGATATACAAAAGTATAGGAAACAAACGTACCAAAATTCTTGTAATCACTATTCAGTTTAAACCAGTTATATTTTTATTAAAAGCAACAAGAAACCAGGAAAATAGTACAGCACGGAGAGCACATGCCTTTCAAATAGGTCTGATCCCAGCACCACATAAGGTTCCCTGAGTCTCACCAGGAGTGATCCCCATTTTCAGAGCCAGGAGTAAGCCCTGCCCACAAGGTAAGTCTCACTTTCCTTACTTTAGGGCCAGATTAATAGGACTTACACCCGGCCAACCCGGATTTTATCCCTAGCATCCCAGTAATTGCTGAGTGCAGAGTCAAGAGTAACCCCTGCGCATTTCCGGGTGTACCCCAAACTTCCACACCCCCCCTCCGAATCGCCCAAACAAGTTATTTCACTATTACAAAAGACATTTACGAAACTTTGTTTCACAACTCCTTGCTAGTATATAAAAATGCAAAGAATGTAATTTTTCTCTACCCCCCCTGCCCCGCTTTTTTGGCAAGCTGTGACTTTTTTTTTTAAATGCTGACCTCGTATCCTGTAATTCTTTGTAGAGCTTTATGACTTTCTATGAAAATAGTTATATTTTACTTGGTGGGTTTGTTTTTCGGCTACACCCAGTGGTGCTGAAGGGTCACCCCTGGCAGGGCTCAGAAGAATGAATGTGGAGCTGGGCAGGAAACCTGGGTGAGCTGTGTGCAAGGCAATCAGGCACCCACTGTCCTAGCTCTTTGGCCTTATAAATGCCAAGTTTTACTTCTTCCTTTAAGCTGTATTTAAAAGAAATTTTTTTTCCTTATTGTACTTTCTAGGAACTCTAATACAAAGGTAAATATATGCGGTGAGAATAAATACCCTAACAGAGCACATGATAATGAACAGAGCTCTGCTCTTATTGGAGAATTTGAATGGATTCAAAAGTTATGGCACTGTTGCCATTCTGTCAGAATTAATTCTCTCCTAGGATTTCTTCCAGAACTTTGTACAAAAGGTTCAATCGCATATTAGATCTCTCTGTCCTAGAAAATTTTACCTTTATACCTGACTACTTTCTCTTAAGAACAACATACCAATCATTCTCTAATCCTTTCAACCAGGTCCTTCCTATTTTGGTGGTGCTGGTGGTGAGGTGGAGATGGGGCAAGGGCCAGATCCAGGGGTGCTCAGGGGAACATCTGGGGTTCTGGGGACCAAACCTCGTTGGTCGTGTGCAAGGCAAATGCCCTGCCTGCTACTTGCTATTCCTCAACCCCCAAACTCCTTCACTTTTGAAAATGACACTGGAGGGCCAGGGAGCTGGCTCTAAGCACCTGAATGCCCCTGGGCACTACCACAATTCCAAGGTAGGAAAATGAAAATGAGGAGAGAGGGGGGGGGAATAAGAGGGAAGGGAATGGAGAAAGAGGGAAAGAGAGTAACTGGAGAAAAGAGGAGGAGAGACCAAGAAAGAATAGAGAAAGGGGCTGGAGCAATGGCACAGCGGATAGGGTGTTTGCCTTGCACCCACCCGGGGTTCGATTCCCAGCATCCCATATGGTCCCCTGAGCATAGCCAGGGGTAATTCCTGAGTGCAGAGCCAGGAGTAACCCTGGTGCATTTCCAGGTGTGACCCAAAAGCAAAAAAAGAAAAAAAAGAAAATAACATTTAAAAAATTACCCCAAACTGCCAAAACCTGTATCAGAGGAAGAACATGACTCAACTTACATAAATAACACAGCTCAACTTACAAGAATAACACCTGGGTTTGATCACTGGCACCATTAAAACAAACAACTCATACAGCTATTATGTATTATTTCATACACATCACTCAACACATATGACCTGCAATTCCTCAGTAGAAAGCTGAACTACTAACAGCTTATGGAAATACTCGGTTATTCAACTTGTAGAAGTTAACTCTACCGTACTGCTTGTTTTGTTCTATTTTCATGCCACACCTACTGGTGCTCAGAGATTATTCCAGAGCCCAAAAGAGAAACAGGCCTAACAGAAGATACCAATTAATTGCTGTGATTAACTCTAGGGCCATTCACCAGAGAAAGGTCAGCGCATATATGTAGGAAAATACTATACTGTCCATAACGAAAATCAATAGAATGAGACAGAGACTGAACATACACCCGGATAAGAGATATAACGAAGAGGCTTTCCTTTACTCAAATCGGTGTACGTTTATAAAGAGGATACTCAGGGCCAAGTGGCAACACAGTGAGTTGGGTGTTTGCCTTGCATGCAGACAACTCCGGTTTGATCCCTGAGTGAGCCTGCCAGGGCCTCGTGCACGCTGGATGTGATCCAAAACCAAAACAAAACGATGTGGCTCATTTGAACAGGAATGATTTCTTCTTTAAATGTAGGAGTATTGCTAATTATTCAGCCACTGATTAAGCTGACTGAACTGGGCATGAACTCCACCTTACTTCGCCCATTTTCCACCACCAAAAACCCCAGTATACCTCCATCCCACACCCTCCCCTTACCTGTGGGGCAGATGATTTCCACATTACTCTCTCTCTCTACTTTGATCACATTCAATATTTCAACACTAGGCCCACCATTGTTATTTGGGATTTACCCCAACATCAGATCTGCCGAAAAGGCAACCATAGACAATTTGCTTTCTATTGCTGGTTATGAATAACATATGGTGTCGCACAGCTGCAGTAGTGGCTGCGCGATTTTGAAATTCCGAAATTTTAACAATTAAAACTGGAGGGATTTCTGCCAAAACCTGCTGGGTTCTGAGATCTGTTCCCGAATCTCTGGGATCATGGCCGTTAAGCAGCTTTATCAGGAGCAAGAGAGGCCATTTGTGGGCGGCAACCCAGGGTCTCGTTGCTACGGGAAGAATGAGCCAGATCCAACCCCATCCTATGAGGGCCTGCGTGACTCATCACTGCAGGCCTAAAC